GGGATTTGGGGTTTGGGTTTAGGGGTTTAGGGTTTAGGGCTTAGGGTTTACAGTACTCTCCATTTCATGCTGAACTCTCTTGTCCAGTTGATTCTCCACTATTGGGATAATATGCCCTAAAACCCTATATAACCCCAAAAATCCCAGTAAAGGGACCTAGGATGTCCACTTGATGTTCCATTAATTCTCCATTATTGGGGCAGTATGCCGCTACTTTTTTTACTATCCCTATTTCATCCCTTCTGCAGATCCCTACAAAAATACCTGTATGCAATACTGTAGTTTCCATTTTGTTGTCCATTTCATTCTCCATTACTGGCGTAAAAACCGAAACCCTAAACCCTGCATGCTGAAGAATAGTTTCCGTTTTCTCTCTTCCATCATCCGTATCTCATCCATCCCTATAATAAATCCCAATATACAATTAGGTTCCATTCCAGTTTCCATGCTATTTCCCAAGGGAAAATTCCGTACCCTAAAGCCTAACCCCATTTGATTCTCCGTTATTGAGGTAATCTATCTCTAAACCGTAAACCCAAAATCCTAAACAGCAGTTTCCCGGGTTCTTTCTACTGTTCATTATCCATTGGGGTAATATTTCCTTAAACCCACTTATATACCCCTATGTAAGCGTAATCTTGAAGTACTACATCCCCTAAACCCTAGACCCTAAAACCTTAAACCTAAACCCTTAACCCTGAACCCTAAACCCGTAACTGCCTTGTGCATCTGCTGGCAAGTCACATCAGCTCCTGGCTCTTCTTGCCGTTCACTGACACGATGATGTCTCCTGCTATACCATTTATTGTAGGAACTCTTTGGACCCCCACTACCTGGTACCCCACTACTATTGAGGCCATATTCCTTCTTTATTTGAGTCTAAATGGATAGTGGGGTACCAGGGTACCAGGTAGTGGGGGTCCCAAGAGTCCCTAGGAATTTAGGGTTTAGGCTTCAGGATTTAGGACTTAGAGCTTGGAGTTTAGGATTTAGGGCTTAGGGTTCAGGATTTAGGGTTGAGCTAGAGCTGAAACCCAACAAGCCCAAAATCCTAAAGCAACAAAAGCAGAACACTATTAAGGTCTGAATATGTATGTGTATATATATATACATATATGGAGGATTTAGGGTTTTAGGGCTTTAGGGATAGGGATTGTATAGAGACCATGTCCCAATTATGGAGAATAAAGTGGAAAAGAATATGGAAGATGAAATGGAAACTACTTTCGTGTACAGTGATTGTAATTTTGTGTGGCACGTTTCATGTAATCCCCTTACACCTCTTAAATACATTATCATGCTTTAAAGTAGTTCCCTTGGGTTGTATACTACAATTAAATCCAAAAGCATTCCTAAGGGGATAAGACTTGGACTTTCCAGCATGCATGCTATCCTGACCTTTCTTTCGAACGTTTCTGCCTTGCGAAAGGTCGCAGTGAAACATGTCAACAGATGCGTAGTGACTGGGGTGCTGGGATGCGAAGAGGATAGGGTTTGGGGCTTCAAGTTTAGGATAGACCCAAAACACGGCATGTTCCGGCCAGGCAACCCCTTTCAGACACACCCGGTCCTGGACACAGCATCTGCTTCTGCAGCTCTTGCATGTTGAAGCGACGAAGAACCTGCGACCGCCAAGGTTGTCTCAAAGCCATGCGAAGGGCAGCCCTTGTCCAGCTGCAAGGTTCCAGAATCGCGTTCAGTTCTGTTGAATACGGGCAGCAGGAACTAATGTACTGTATAAATATGTGTATATACATATATATATATATATGTATATGTATATATGCATATCTATATTGATATACACCTTACATATCCGTATTCTAGTAAGTTAAACGGCATCCAATATCACCCAACTCCAGCCCTGTTTTCAACCGCGAGAACTGAGGCGACATTTGCTACTTCGCCCCACACACGAATCGTTGTAGAATAGGACTACATAATGACCTACCCCAATATGGTAATGTTCATCAATGGTGAGCCCCAGTATGCACTCCAACATATTATACCAGGCAACCCCCAAACCCAACCCCTGGATTTCCGGACACCCAAATAGAAATACGATTCCCACATAAACTTGACTGTAAGCCCTAAGCCGCAAGTCCTACTCCCACCGAGAATCACGCGTATCCCTCGGAGCCTGGTTCTTGCGCTCTGCGGTATACAAAACAGAAGTCACTTCGAAGCCACAGAAGCTTTCGTCAGTTCCTTGGACTCTAAAAAGTGAGCCTACTAGGGCTTATATAGGAGTTATATAGGGAGGATATATGGTGTAGGATACATAAGGATTTGAGTTCTAAAGCAAAGGGTATACAGCACGATAACGAAGAATCAAAGGGAAAAGAAAATGGAAAATGAAATAGAGATCCCAGGTCTTTTCTAAGGGAGTATAGCCTGATAGAGCTACATATAGAGATTTAGGGGGAATTAAGGACATTACCCTGACAATGGAGCATCGCATGGAAAAGAAGATGTAAATGAAATGCAAACTCGGATTGCACAGTAGCTTTTGATACTAGACATCCTTGATGACCTTGGTATAGTAGAATGCGATAGTTCCTTTGAAATAGGGTATATCGAGGCATGCAAGGTTCTTAGTACCAAAAGTAATACTGAGACACCTAGCCGTTGATGATTCCTCTTCAAGGCTTCAGTTGGAACAATGGAAGGTTTCCCAAAGGGTTTAGGGTCTAGTATGTGCCCTGAATCCTGGCATCTTTATGTATCTATTATAAGTCCTATAGAACCCTGCAAGCCCAATTAGAGAGGCCCATAGGTAGGACCCAGACCCATATGAGGGGCCCATAGCTCGGACTTTAGAGAAATGGGGGCTTTCCCAAAATTGGGCGTACCTTCTTGGGGTTCCTTTTACCCTAAACCCTAAACCTATTGGGGTCTATATTGGGGTCACTGATTTTAAGGAAACTACCAATTCAATGAACTTCGCCTGCCAGACAACCAAGGCGCTGAAAACGGGTTTGTAGTGAATCCCGACCTGAGGGCCATTGTTAAGGTTTAGGGTTTAGGGTTGGGAAACACCAAGTTCAGATTCCAGCCCTAGGACAATATCAGATTAAAAATGGATGCCCTAGGAAATATAGGACTATTGTTACGAACGACGACGACTAAAACTGCTGGTGTTGCTATTTTGCCGTAATTTTTCACTATCACTACTACGAGTAACTCGCATTCTTGAACTATACAAGGGCTATATGGCAGGAACGCTTGTCGGTTTCCAACATGGGATGCAACTTTAGGCCTGATACTGGGGCCTGGCACAACTATCAAAAAGTACGCATGACATACATGAGCTATAGTCTAAACTCCAAGCCTGCAGTATTCATTCTATAAGCCACAGTCTAAACTCCCGTGGGGGTTACATAGGGATAATGGAAAAGAAAATGAAAACTACTACATTATAATAGGGTATATATATATATGTATGGATTATTATATGAGCTATAGTCTAAACTCGTAGTATCCTCCTTAGTAACCCCCATAATACTCCCCTTTACAATTCCCTATGTAACCCCCTTTAAGGAGTTTAGACTATAGCTCATATCAAGCCCTGTCAGGGCAGCATGTCACGCCTCCAGGCCAAATTGGGTTTCCCAAAATCAGAAATACTCTTGGGGCCTTGAGTAACGATTTCAGCATTTTGGGGGCTATATTGGGGGCCCCTATTGTGGTAAACTACCAAATTGCATCAGGATCGCTGACTGCAGGAAATAGACCAGAGGAAAGTGAAAAAACAGTGGCAATAGCGTATTTGTAGGAGCTGCATGCATTGAGTCATCTGCAGCTACTTCCGAAAGCACAATTGGGGGTTTCCCAAAATTAGAGGTACCTTTTCGGCGGGTTCCCCGTAATACGGATACTTAGTATTGCGGGGTCTACATTGGGGTCCCCCTGGTTATGCAAACTACCAAATGTTCTTACGACAATGCCTATCGTTCAGCAAAGGAGCATCCTCGTCTGAGTTGCGGCGCACCGCGAAAGGGAACTCGAAGCGCTCGCCATCGATCAGGGTGGACATGGCGGCGCAAAGTGGGATGTCTATCTTTCCATGATTCTTGCCTGAAGGTGATCAAACATCCATCTTGTTGAGACTCACTTAGTCTGGCTATTCCATGATAGTATGAGAACATTGAATGAAACTAATTTAGGAGTGTTTCCTGTATGTATAAGAAGCCACGACTTGAGGTGAGGTCCGGTAAGGTGGTCATAGTTTGCCAGTTGGTTCAGGTGCATGATATTTCTGAGCACAGACAGCTCCAGAAGGTTGGGGCCACTAAATGGACAACGCATCACAGGTGACTTCTCCTCAGAACCTTGGAGGCACCGCCTAACCCTAAATCTTAAACATCCTGTAGTCTCCTCGGACCTAGGATAGACATGTTTTCAATAATTCCTTAGGGTTAGACTGTAATAAAGTCAAAAACAATTCCTAAGGAGACTACAGTATCACATATAGGGATCATGATAAACAAAATGGAAAGTATTGTATTACAACAGGGTGTATGTTGGGGTCACATAGGGATAATGAAAAGCAAAATGGAAACTGCTATATAGTATAGGATTCTGTAGGGGCTGGAAGTGAGTTCACAAGAGACCAAGTTTGGAAGAGGCCAACGCCAACTATGCCTAAACCCTAAACCCTACACTCTAAACATACTCCTTTGCGGTGCCCCTGGAGATCGCAAATTTTGCTGAAACGCCTCAGGCTCAAGATAGGCACATGTTCAGAGTAAGGCTTTTGTCTTGACATGTCCCCAAACACAAGGAAAGGAATCGCCAGGTGCATTCCCGTCAAGAGAATCTGCGCGGATAGCCCTAAACCCTGCACCCTATACCCTAAACCCTGTACCCTACACCCTAAGCCCTGAACCCTAAACCGTATACCCCAAACCCTAACCCCTATACCGTTTTGAGGCCCAGGCCATGCAGTCTTCCATGCAGCTGTCGGTTTCAACTGAGTCCAAGCCGTGCCTGCAAAAAACTAGTCTCTTAATGGGTTTAGGGCTTAGGATAACGGAAAATGGAAACTACTACAGTATCATGGGGTATGTAAGGGTTGAGGGCTAAGGGCTTCAAACTTGGGGACACTGCAGAAGAAAATGGAAACTACTAAAGTATAATGGGGTATATGAAGGTTTAGGCCTTAGGATGATGTAAAAGACACTGGAAACTACTACAGTATAACGGGGTACCACCAATGACTACCACCACCCCGCCATCATCCCCGAGTTTGCATGAAGACTTGCTGTACTATTCTAGCGTATTTCTCTATATTATAGTATAATATAGCATATGATAATAGATTATAGTATGTTAGAGTAGATTATACTATATTATGGTAGACTATAAGTTATAGTATATTATAAGATATTATGGTAGACTATAAGGGCTGAGCCTCTGGATGCAGGAGGATAAGCATGGCCTCAGGAATCTGCCGTACCACAGCGGTGCTTACTGCTTTTCAGCTCCTAGCTCCACACTCACCAAGCGAAATGCTGATGCGGCCCCTTAGAACGAAAGCTAGGTCTACAGCTGTCCAATACTGATATTAAACAGGCATAGCCCCCCCAACAATGGATAACCACGTGGTCAAAATCACATGGAATCAAGTATATCGTATCCATCTAATTTCCAATGTTCCGTTTGAATTTCCCGTTCTAATTATACAATATCAGCCCCCTGTACCCCAAACCCTAAACCTAAATTATATAGTTGCTGATCATAGGAGGGGGGCTTTGAGAATAGGACGATACGGGACCAGGAATATGATCATCATCATCATCATCCCTTAGGGTCGCTCTTAGTGGGTCGTTTGGGGCTTCGGGTTTATAGTCCCCCCTAAGTAGATAGAATATGGGGTATATGGGGATCTTGTTATAGCATACCCCAAGCCAGATTCTATCTACTTCAGGGGGACTGTAGGGTTTAGGATGTAGTCTCCATCACCTAACCCTGTTTGACAGATACTTGGAGGGTCGGTGGGGCTTAGGAAGTATACTTCTGAACCCTATGAACCATACAGTACGCTCAGTGATCCCGATTCTTCTTACTAAGTCCCCTTAACCCTAAACCTAAAGCCTACATAATGTAGCAATATTCCCTGCTCGTTTTCATTCCTTCCTCTATCTCCCATGTGCTATAGTCTATACTCCTAGTATCCCCCTGAATAACCCCTATAACACTCCCCTATATAATCCCGCATATAACACCCTTCAAGGAGTTTAGACCATAAACCTAAACCCTAGACGCTACACAACCCCCTTTAAGGAGTTTAGACCCTAAACCCTAGACCCCATATATCCCCCTTTCAGGAGTTTCGACTATGGCTCATATGGTGGTTTCCCAAAATCAAGGACCACAATATAGACCCCAATATATTAGAGTCTTTATTATTAGGACCCCCCAAAATCATACCCCTATTTGTAGGAACCCCCCTATGATCCACCGAGTAGGCTCATGGGGGCGAGGTGCCAGTCGACCCCATCATCTGTCGCATTGCCTCGATCAGGGTTGGTCCCTTCCCCACGGCTTAGGGTTTAGGATTTAGGGTCTAGGGTTTAGGTGACCCAATAAGAAGAATATTGGGAAACCAACGCCAAGAGGAGCTTTGGTGGTGCAAGGATTCTTTTGATTGCGAACAACTTTTGAGGGTGCAAGCTTATTTGGAGGGGTCACGTACTGTAGCACAGCCTGCGGCGCGCAAAGATGCATGGCTTGTATTAAGACATGGCCCAGAACATTCAATACACGAGCTATAATCTAAACTAAACCCCTGGTATCCCCCTTAATGACCCCTATAGTAGTCCCCTATATAATCCCCTATATAGCACCCCTTTGAAGGCGTTTAGACTATGCCTCACATTGCAGTGGCAGTATGCGATCAGAATGTGTGCTGAATCCTGCATAGCCCTTCGCTCGCTGTACGCCATCCCGCCATCCCCTTAGAGCCCTAGGGTTTAGGGTTCAGGGTTTAGGGCTCAGGTTTTAGGGTTTAGGTTTTAGGGCTTAGGGCTTAGGGCTTAGGGTTTAGGGCTTAGGGCTTAGGGTTTAGGGTTTAGGGTTTAGGGTGTTGGGTTTAGGGCCTACATAAAGGAGACTTTGCCTACCATTGAGTAATCAGCTCACCCTCACAACAAATATTCCCAAAATAGTACCGTTATATACTTATACTTCCAGAGGGCATTTTTATTGGCAGGTGGATGGGGTTCCTATAGTGAGAAAAATGCCTTCGAGACCCCTCCATCATCCAAGCTTCCTTTTGATTGTGCGTCTTGTTTTCCAACTGATGTTCCATGTAATTCTCCATCATAAGTATCATGAGTGGGAAATTAGCAAGCTTTGGCGGACAGACCTTCCCGCCCGCTTACCCGCTTAGAGCCTGTTGAGTTGCCAGGGTGTTGCCGACGTTGCTGACATGATTCTTAGCATGTTGGACCCCGATCCGAAACATCGTCCTTACAACACGCTGACTTTCCACGTTGTCGAAAAAGTAACTACCACCATACTTTGTGTACTGTAGTAGCTCAGTGCTCACTGCTCCTCACTGCTCACTGCTCACTGCTCGCTGCTGCTGCTGCTGCTGCTGCTGCTGCTGCGCTAAAAGTATGCTTTGCATGTCTGCTGCGCAGCCAGCACGGCTGGCCTAGGGGGAAAAGATCCTCGAAGCTGAGCGTGTCCTCCAGATACCGGTAGCGGGACCTGGCATGGCTTGCAGGCGTGGGGTCTAGGGTTGGGATTTGGAGCCCGTGGTGTAGGGTGTGCAGTGTAGGGCTTGGGATCTTGGGTGCAGACATGAAAACGATGTTCTTCTGTAATTTGGTTTATTCAACTAGGGTTCAGGTCGGCTGACAGCTGTCCAGCGACAACCCCACCATGCAGGCGATCTAATTTCTGGCCTGGTTCCAGTCATCCAGCCATCATCGCAGAGGCAGATGCCGTCTGAATTGCACCTAAGTCAGTGCAACTTTCAGAACGCTTTTTCATCAGTAGTATTATTACTAATCGTATGAACTAATATTTCTCTTACTATTAGTATTACGACTACAAGTACTACTACTATGATTACTACTATTATTACTATTCTCAAACTCAACTGACTGCTGGAGACTGGCCTCCCGTGGTGAGAGCAAGTCTCCTCAAAGGTACAGTAGACGTTGCAGCTGCCTGCGCCGCATGGAAACAAAAGGTCTCACTTTATGCACCATGCAGTGCAGTGCAGCATGGCAAGTACTACATGACAGAAGGCCATGTGAGCTATAGTCTACACTCCTAGTATCCCCCTCGGTAACCCCTATAATACTCCCCATATGTAATCCCCTATGTAAGCCTCTATGTAAACCCCTTTAGAAAGTTTTGACTATAGCTCATATAACAGGCATCAGAGGGCAGTGCAGCCACAACAAGTATGGCATACCAACATACCTCATGCAACAGTAGCAATAGTGGTATTAATGGCAATATCGATTGTAATAGTAAAAAAGAAGGTGGTGGTGGTAATAGTGGTGGTAGTAGTAGTAGTAGTAGTAGTAGTAGAAGCAGCAGCAGCAGTAGTAGTAGTAGTAGGCGGCGCCCCCCCCCCCCTACCAACTATGTTGGTTGATATTTCCGGGCGGATAATTGCGTATAAACCC